CACACAGGATGGTCAGGAGAAGCTTCCTCCAAGCCCCACCGCAGCTTTCAGACAGGCTCCTGGTCCGGATGCAAAGACACCAGCCGATAGAGAAGCCATACGCTGCTAGATTAGTTCTTTTGGTGATTAATTGCTCTCACCATTAAAGACCAGTGGCTATTAAGAGGTTTTCTACTTGCTCTATTTTGGACTCCCATCTACCCACCTCACTCTGCGCTGGCATAAATCAGAGCAGTTCCACTGACAGCTTTATAACAGGAGAGAATTTGTCTCCAGCCTTTCGTATTTTAGAAAAGAGAAGTAGCAGAAGCAAGAGAAAGAAGTGCTGCCGGCCAGGGACTGGGGAGAAGTGGTACAGGTGACAAGGGCAGAAGGACCAAGGCTTCAGATGGGCACGGTGGAGGGCAGGCAGCATCCTCCAGACCACAACCAGTCCCGAGGCACCAGAGCCCCCATCCAGTTTTGATCCACCTGGATTTTGGTGAGTTAGAGGACCAGGCTCAGGCTGGGCAGGCACCCGGACTCCATACAGCAACAAAGACCAGGATTTTCCGTATGTGCACTGGTCGGATGACCCCTGGATTAAAGACATCCCTGAAAACCAGCACACAGTGAAGAAAAAGACAGGAGCCCACATGTTGCACAGGATCAAGCTGCCTCGGTGCAGGAATGTCCCTCTGGCTCTGATGTCCCCATGTGCGAAGCAGTGCGTGCGTCCTGGGCAAAAACCACAAATGAACAGCACAGGCAAGATCAGATTATGTGAAATCCCCTGCTCACTTGACCTCCTTCACGTCCCATCTTCTATTTATATGCCTTGGGGCTGCCAGGGACAGCGCAGGTTGTCCTTGGCCCACGCTTGCAGGGCTGGGGGTTCAGCTGTGGGTGCATGGGGTTAGGGTTGGCCCTTGGAGCTGGCTGACACCATCTCAAAAAGAGACATTTGAAGGTTTTCCTCCTAACAGCCCTCCTAACCCCTCTGCTATGCCCCCCTCGCTGGAGGTGAAAAGCAAACTGAAACGGTACCCTGGACTAACCTCCCCGCCGAGGGACAGGAAGGTCAAGGGGGACTCCTTGGGCTTCGGAGCTTGGCTTTCCTCAACAAGCAGTGATTTATTCTTTGTTTTATGCGATATTTAACAAGAAGGTCCTGGCCGGGGGCCAAGGCTGGTTACGGATGCCTGCTCTGTTTGCCTTTCTCATGTTCTTCCCCTCCGGTTCCTCCCCAGCGGGAGCTGCTCACTGCCTGCTCCTGTGCGATATGTGGGTTTGGGGAGGTAGAGATGCTGCTGACCCGGAGCCCGGGGTTGGTCTTGGTGCCGGGGGGGACGCAGGGCAGCGAGCACCCAAGGGAGTACAGGAGCACCCAAAGAAGCCTGCTGGGAAGAGCCAGGTCTGTGAGGGGAGACGTCCTCCACGGTGAGCTTTTGGAGAGGGATCAGGTCGGGGGCTTGGTGGGGCAGGGTTGGACTATGGCAAAGCAAAGGAGCCGCTTTGGGGAAGTGAAATGTGGATTTGCCTTTATTGCTGCTTTCTCAGCCCCCTCGCAACAGGCGCGACACGAATCCCGCGGGTGCCAGAGGGGTTATTTTCCTAGGACTGGGAGCCAGGGCCATGGAGAGAGGGAGCGTTTGGTGCCTGTGCCAATCTCTCCCCCACGAGGACATCCTCGTCGCACGCCACACACCGTGCTGCAAGGCGAGAACAAACCCTCTGCACCTCAGGCTGGAGAAAACAGAGCCGGTAGCTTGGCATCATCTGGATTTAACCTTCCAGCTTAGTCCCCTCTGGGAGGCAGGACGTGACCTCCTCATTTCCACCGCCCAGGCACGGCTGGCAGCCGGGAGCGGCGGCACACGGCTCTGCATCTCTGGGCTGGAGCAATCAGCACGCAGCAGGCATGCACAGACAAGTGTCAGCTGAATTTCTGTACGACTTTAAATACATTAGCAAGGCCACAACACAGCTCCAAAGTGCTGCAGGCACAGCCGAGCTGATAAATAACCCCCAAACCCACCAGCAAGAAAATAACCCCCCTCTTTCTGTGGGAGACAAAGCTTAGCATCATTTTCCCCCTTGTATCTGTACAGCAGCTGAGCAGATCCACTCTCTACCTTGCTGTGTTTGAATCCAGTACCAGAAGGGTCAATTCTGTGCCACTTCTGCGGAGTCATTATACTGTCGGTTATATAAATGTCTGGGCATGCACAAAAGACAGTGCTGATACAGTGGCTCCGACACCAACTCTCTCCAACACCTGCTTTTCAGCTGGAGAGAAAGCCGAGCACAAGAACATCTCGAGAGCTGTCACACAGAAGGCTGCTGTCTTTCAAGCTGAATGGAGGTCTAAATAGCTGTCACTTCTCCTTTAGAATCTCATTTCTAAATGCAATTAATACTGGCACATGCATAATGAGAGACTGACGAGTGAATACAGACTCCGGCAATAAAGAAGCCAGCCCCAAGTGCTATGTAAATATTACAAATCCTCACTAGAAGCTGACCCAGGGAAGACAGCTTTCTGATGATTAAACCCAAGTGACAATATGACTGGATTCCCACATCTGTCACAATACTACCTGCTGATACATAATGAGCTACACTAAAAGAACTAGCTCTTGCTGCTCTCAATGCAGATAAAGTGTCTATTTGTAGAATGTAATTAATCTCTTCTTCAAAATCAGGAACCTTAGTGTCCTTGGTAACAACATGCCAGTGACTCAGAGAGCGTCTCTGCCTTTTTCTTCTGATTTTTGAGCGAGTTATTGAAAGTGACCCCAAATTCTAGCACTGAAAAGGAGCTGTGCTTCAGAAGTGGAAGAGCCAGCTGGGTATCTGGAGGTGGGGACGGGTTTTACCCACCTCTCTGGTCTCTGCAGGGCTCCTTCGGCAGCTTAAGGAGGTTCCTGGACTTGTTTCAGCCACGTTCCCTAGGATGAGACAAGCTCTGTCCCAAGAGCTGGTCCCCAACCCATCGAGCACAAATTCCCTTTTACCATCAGGTGTAACCAGGCAGAGAATAATACTGAAAGCAG